TTATTATTAATTTTCTATTTTTTATAATAAATCTTTTCGAGTGCTTATGCACTTAACAGGTGCGAATAAGCCACCCTCAATTTCTTAATTAACCTCACTTTTGAAAATTACATAAAAACCATACTTTTGTGCGTGTAAAATATAATTGGCGGCTTCGCTCATGATACGAATACATAGCAATGCCATGACATGCCATGCAAAAAATCCAACACATTTCATTATTCTATATAGCAAATAATTGCGTTGCCGCCTGTCGCAGCTAATGGCTGCCGATGATATGATGATGATTATTATGCCGCTGTCGCTGTCTGACTGGCTGGCTCTGTGGCTCAACGCAGTCAACTGACAACGCGCATTGGTCTTGGTTCAATAATTCCGAAGCGCCCAACTGGCACATTCCACATTAGGCCAATGCCATTTTCACACCCTTTGCGCCACCAGCCAGCCAGCCAGCAACCCCACCATGAACTCTTGCGCCCACGAGCGCCCACCTATGAAAAAATATGCCTCGCCAAATTACCATAAAAAGCTCGACAATTTTCCTATGAATAATTTCTTTCGATATGCCCACATTCATATATCTATGTATGTAGGTATGAGTAGATATGTGGCGCTCACATATATTATATAATAATTATTTTACTGCTGCTATGCGTGCAACATTTTAGATATAATAGCTTAGTGGTTGGTAATCGCAGAATTTATGTGTCAATACGCTTCGGTACGCACGGCAATTTTTCACGTTTGCGGCGAAATTCTCCATTAAAAATTTATTCTGTCTGCGCGTGTTGTGCAAACGCGCGTCGCGCACAAAAATATGCTACAATTAAATAGAGCTGAAAAATATGTGCGACATTTGCATTTGCGCTCATTTATCCTGTGTCAATCCTGTGATCGCTTCTCGGTACTAACCCGGTACACTTGTGTTGAATATGTTGTGCTTTGTGACGGTTTCGCATGTGAGTTTGCATAGAAAATATTAAACTGTTTTTGTATTGCATACGTTTTGTTGAAGTTCAACGGTGCTGTGCGCTTTTTCGTTATATTAATGTAATTTTATGAAATCCTAACCTCAAATCGACACTCATAACCTAATACCAAACAGTGTTTTTATGCATTATTTTATTAATTTTATTTATTATGTCAATTGGACAGCATTGCGCTAAGGATCGTTGAGTGCAAATGTGGCCGAAATAAAAATAAGAACAAGCAGCAGAGTTGAGAGCGAGAGATAGAGCGAGAGAGGAGAAAAAGTCTGAAGTGAATTTTTGAAATTTTCTGCAAACTATTAAAGTTTAGCGCTAGATGAAATTCCAAAAATTTCTGCGTCACTACCAAGACTCTACCTCCCAAACTTAAGTGCGTTGTCGTTCAAAACACGCGCCCAGTTCAACGTCTTCGTAATGCTGTTCTTGACTTTAACTATTTATAATTTGTCTCCCTTTCAACGCACTTACTAAACAAATAACTTCCTCTTGCAGATGACTCGTTAGCAGCGCGTCGTCGTCGTCGCCGTGAGCTCGGCATGGTGCGTCAACTCGTGCCGCCCGATGATCCAGTGCTACGTGAAATGCTATCACCACGTCAAAACAAAGCCGACACGTCAGCCAAAAATTTGGCGTGCCACAAACCGCCACACAACGAATTGGCCTATCACATGGAGATCGCGCGTCGCGGTTGGGATCTAGTCAATCCGAGCGTTAGCAATCGTGCGCGCTCCGAAACGGCTAGTCCAAAATATGAACTGCACGCACGTGAAAGCTTGATTCGAGAACGGCCGAGCAGCAATCGTTTAGCACGCCGCAGCGATACGTTGCATCTGGGCGAATTGCGCAAGTTGCGCTCGAACGATGTCAATCGGAAGGTAAATGAGCGTACAAAAACCGATTTGGCCGAGATTAAGAAGATCGCTGAACAGGCGAATGTTGAAATGGCCATGATGGCTTCGGGTATTGCCGCGGAACTAGCTGCACAGGCGGTACGTGGTGGTGAGGATTACATCAGCAATGATTTGGAGGGCAGAGATAGCAGTGAGTGTGTTGTGGAGCTGGCAACGCCGGCACGTTACGGCATCGGTAGTCGTCCACAAGCGTTAACGCCACCGCCAGCACCATCGTATACGGAATTAGAGGTGGCCGCCGAAGCGAAGGAGCGTGATCCATCACCAGCCAAACATGCCACCTTCGTGCAGGAAGAACGCATCTACTACGAACCCGAAGCGGACGAGCTGGTGGCTAAGTCCATCTCGAATACGACAATGTCTGGCGGCATATTGCGACAGCGTATATTGAAAGCGCGTAGCATGGAACGTGATGCTGGTCATGAGCCGCCAAAACTTTCACCAATATTACGGCGCAGAAGCACCGATGATCCCACATATATACCGGTGCCGACTAGCGCAAGCGTATACTCAACATCGCCATCCACATCGACACACAACCACATTGTTTCGATACTCAAGAAGAAAGATCATATTGCGGGTGAGTCCAGTTCGGCTTCGAGCAACGCTTCGCCGGTGACATTTTCCGCAAACGTAGTCGATACACCGACTTCGAAACAGAAACGTGCCGGTATACTTAAGAAACGCTCGAGTTTGGACGAGTCACGCTATTACTCGCGCTCACATTCGCCCGACGAACGCAGCATACTTATTAAATCGGCGCGTCGCAATTCATTGGAGGAGACTGCCGGCTTACAGCAACAGCAACAGCATGGCATACTCAAGCAGAGCAGCTATGAGAGTAGCAAAAGCGATGGTTGTCCCTCCGCCACTGAACCACATCCGCATGGTATATTGAAGAAGAAAGATTCTACCTCGACACCTTCCGATGGTGGCACACATGCCCCGAAACATGTCTCGATCTCACAGGCTGTGAAAATGGCTGCGGCTGAATTGGGTCGCGAGACGGCCGACAATCAGGCGGTAGCCGGCGGTGAACACGATGAAAGCGGCTACACACCCAGCAATGAAGAATACGAAATCCGCCCAATACTCAAATTGGAAAGTATTTCCAGCGATGATGCTATGCGTCCACCTAAACCGATCTTAAAGAAGAAGTCGTCTGGTGACTCGGACGAATACGAAATACGCCCCATATTAAAGACATCGCGTAAGAGCAGCCGCGAAGAGTTTGATTTGGGTGGCGCAATCAGCGAAGATGGCCGTCATTATAGCGAACCGCCACCACCGATTGTACGTCCAATTTTAAAGACTGACTCACCATCGAAACGACGTTCATTGGGTGGTGAAGAGCTGGAACCCGATGTTTTCAGCGCTGAACAAGTCAGTGGCCAATCGCCAAGTTCACTCAAACGGCGTACACGCTCTTTAGAACGTCAGGAAGCGCCCGTTGTTGATTTAGCGGCCGCCTTGAATGCCATTGCCACATCACAAGCCGCACCTTTGGAATTTGTGTCTACGCCGATCACAACCGGTGGCAGCATTTCGGTTGCGGAGCGTATAAAAAATATGGAAATATTCCTAAGCAGTAACGGTACTTCACCGTCTACGCCGGTGGATGTCAACACCAGTTGGGAATCGCCTTTGCAGTCGGGCGTCACACCGAAATTGTTCAAACCGAGCGCCATACGACGCGACATGTATCGCGATCGCTACAAGACGCAACCGATAACGAATGATGAAAAATTACTGTAAGTACAATAAAAACATCCTTATATTGTATAATACTATGTCTAAAGTAATGACTCATAATGATTTTCGGCTGGTTCAGACTGATTTCGTGAGAATTATTATGATATCTGTGGATAATTCAATATTTTAAGGTGTGATCCATATTCCCTACTTCAACTTTAATGAGGAATGTTTATTATCATTCGAAAGAACATTCTTCGGCAGTTATTTTTTGAAGATTATCTCTTTCAAATGTTGGCCGCGGCTACGTCTCAGTTGGTCCATCCGTTGAGCCCAATTTTTCGATGACTCGTTCGGGCATTTTGACTGGTAACTGGCGAATGATATCCGTGAAGTTTTGCTCCAAGGCTTGAATTGAAGCGAGATTGCCCGCATATGCTTAAGACTTTACATATCTCCACAGGACAAAGTCTAACGGTGTGATATCATGCGATCTTGGTGGCCAATCGACCGTCCCAAAAGGTGAAATTATTTTCTCACCGAAGTATTCTATCAATAAATCCATTAATTTATTTGGGGGAAGTGGCGCCGAATTGTTAAAACTAAATGTCGACGAGATCAATCAATGGTTTCAATTTCAACCATTAAATAGTCGGTTTTCAAGGCGCAATAACGGTCGCCATTGACGGTTACATTCTCACCGGCATAATTTTTTATAAATATGGACCAATTTTGCCTCCGGCTCACAAATCACACCAAACCGTTGTTTTTTCTGGTTGAAATGGCAGCTCTTCAATCTCTTCTGATTGCTCCTCGTCTCAAATATAGTAAATTTGCTTGTTTACATACCTATTCAGCCAGATATGGCCTACGTCGTTGAACAAAAGTCTCAAAAACGTTGGATCATCTTGGAACTTTTCAAGAACCCATGATAGAGGTCGGGTGGCTTCAGTTCTTGCACAAGCTGTATTTTGTACGCTTTCAATTTAAGTTCTCGATGAAAAAAGTCGTTCCATAAGTCATTTCGAGTTACTGGGAACGGCGCCGAATTAACTCTCCACGGTCTTATTATATATATTTTATATATATATTATTTTTTTAATTTTGATAGTTGCCACTTTTTTCAAAACCACTGATCAACCAAGAAGTATTTCGTCTTCTTCGCAATTTCGTAAAATATTATGTGTGCAAGGAAGTGAGCTAAAAATTGGCAAGTTTCCAATTTTGCTTGTGTCTTCCATTCTTCACAAAATCTTCTATATATCTTACGCTCTCGCGTTAGTGTGCTCTCACAAACTCTATTCCTGTTGCTAGTAAAATATTTGCCGGATTTATTTTTAAATATACATACTTAAATGGTGAGATTTTCACAGTTACGAATAAGACACAGCTGTCACAGCAATGATTTTCAATTATGTACACTGCAAAAAATATGTAGCTAAAATGTCTATATTTAAATCAGTCCGTACATACATACATACATACTTATGTATACTCGTCGGCTTGTCTTTCGTTTTGAAGTAATTTGTATTTAGTTTGAACAGAAATAGCTCTAGTCATTCGACAGTGCTGATTTTGTTTTTATGAGAAAGCAAATTTTGTATCGTTTCAACTATTATTGAATATTTAGAATGTTGCAATATATTTCACAGATTTTTTTATATAACTGGTAAATACGTTTGCAAGGTTTTAGCCTTGTAAGTAGCTAGCCTTACAGGAAATCCAATGAGGCCTTATATGCCTCATATATGAAACTATAAGTTTCTTCAGATATCGATAACATCAAAAAAATCTATTTAGATAATCTCACTCTCGGAGGGCGTTAATCGCTTACTTAGTAGTCATATGTTTCTGTTCAGACCCGTTATGTAGATATGTAATTTGCTTCACCAGACCTTGAAAAATTAAATTCTTAACCAAGCACCCCCCTCCCCACGGGTCGTATTCATACCGCAGACGGACAAAGCAGTCCCTCTTTATTCATAAGACTATATACCGTTAATTTCTAACGTCATTCCTTTTGAAAACATTCGAAAATATTCTAGATGCCTACATAAGAGATAAGCTTCGTAAGTACAACATTCCTACTTCACTAGGTAACCCCAAATTTAGATAGATTGATGCACTTCCCGCATGTAAGTGATGCTTAGGTCTGCATGGGGACACCTTCCCTGACCTCATACACTGGTGTTAAACAGCGATAATCAATGTCATATAGAAAGCCGGTAGAGCGAATACCACCGTATTACAAAGATTACTCAACCTACCACCAGTTAACATTGCAGTGATTGGCAGCATTAGGTGAATTTTCCAATAGAAAGATCATAACTTGATAAACATGCTTTTACGTTTTATTTGGGAGAGAAGGGTTCAAATCACATTAGAAGAGGGTGAATGGCGCAGCAGCAAACTGCTCTCTAAGAAAACTTACAAAATCTGCACAGTCAGATCAAAAATGGTTAATAAAGTGGGCGCCCGACATCTCCTGCTCGGAGTTAGATCTCAAGCAACCTTTCAAGCTTCCAAATAACTGCAATATCTTCCACACAAAAGTCTTTATAGTTAGAGAAGCTGGTGATTCAGCTAACAAAACAAGAAAAAAGATAAAGAGAGCAATACATACGTTGATTGCCAAGCGGCAATAATCTCACATTATATTAGGTTAGAGAATGTCCTTACAAGTACTTAGAAGTAGTCCAAAACTATCATCCGTCCGGTAACGAACCAGTACAGGAAGTACGCGAGTCGCTAAAAACTATACCCAATGAAATATCCGTAAGAGCTGACAGACGGATCAAGGTGAGATGGACTGTCTTAGGAACGTGCAAGAGCGCCAAGATTATGTGCAGAGCCCCAAAGAAAGTCACACATGCTTTCTACATGCGACGCGATGGTTGTGAAGACTGCAGGACGATTCTTGACCTAATGACTGGTCACCTGCAACACATGCGAGTCGGATCAACAACGATGATATATGCGGAGAGGGCAATTAAATAGGCATGAGAGAAATGCTGGAACATATTCTCTGCGAATTCGCAGAACTTTTAAATCATCGAAAACATTCCTATTTTCGCTCTTAAAATCTACTCTCAATCAAATTCGCCCTATGACTCGTAAAAACGTCGGAACTTCAGACTTCATTTGTAGAATTGCATTCATGAAGGTCATTTTTTATTTCTCCTTTATTAAGTTTAACTTTGTTAGCATAAAAATATTGTCAAATTGTGCCACCGAACCCCTTTCGTAAACAAAAAGCAGCGTTTTTATGAAATTCGCCTAGAAATTGACCTCAAAAGTGCTATTCGCGAAATTTTGCATTTACAAACAGACACAAATATTAGTCAACGCTATTGTTAATGTTTTCTTATACTATTTTTGTTGTCACACACCAATGTTTGCGTTATGAAATCGTCATATTTTTGCAAACCAAACTATTTTGCACAAATACATATTCATAAATATTGGCAACACTGGAAAGCCAAGTAGGCTTGAGCATACGAGTATGTCGAAAAAAGCAATAATATCAGTAGACTTTCTGAAAAAGTTATTCATAAAAACAAACAAACTGTTTTATTTGTCAAGTGGCTTGAAAAGTGAAGCACAAATAAATAATATTCATGAGGCGCTGTGTCCCCAAGCGGATACAAAAATTCATTATCTCCGGCACACACACCCATTTTGTTGGGAAAAAATTAGTTGGAGGAAAAAAATAGTAATAATGGGGAAAAATAATAATGACAAAAATAAAAAATGAAACGAAAAAAATTATAATGAAATTGCATGAAAAAATAATAGTAGCAAAAAAAAAATATAAAAAATAATAGCAAAAA